CATCATGTTCAGATTGGCCCCAGACCCAAACCTGGGCCTCCCATGTGGCTTCCAGACTCCTAAATGGTAGCACTACCTATATGCCACTATGGCTGAGCCCTGTATATGTAGATTTAAAGGGGAATTTCCATTATTATATTTTTATGAATGTAAGACTATAAATATATAAGCACAGTTGTTTTTATTACTATTTCCTATAAAATATGGGGCCTTTCTATCTTCATGTTTCATTTGTTTGACCTAGGGAAATAACAACTAATGACAACAAAATATTTTACATGCTTTGTTAAGTTATAAAGTTTTTTACTGTTTAGCCCATTAGGGCTAAACAGTTAAAAAAAAAAAAAAAGATTAAAATGAATTTTTTGGATATATTATTGGTTTCTTTTAAAACTGTGAGAAACTGGCCCTGTAGCCTAGTGGTTAAAGCCAGATCCCACATGGCCAGACTACAGTTCAAATCCCAGCCCCAGCAGCTTGAAAAATAACACCAGACATGTGTGTGTGCATGCCCTAAATTCTTCCAGGATGGAGAAATGGAGAAGGGATTGTGGCATGATCATGCTGGGGGAGAAGGCATGGGATGGTGGTGGTGGTGGTGGTGCTTTCTCCCTCTCCCTCTCCCTCTCTCTGGTGAGTGCGTGCACTCTCTGGCAATTAAAAAAAGTAAAATGTAAATGTGATATAAACAGGAGTAGGTTCTAAGTGGCCATTAGTCATTTTCAAATGATGACACCTATTTTTACAAAATCTAAAACAACCATGAAAAAATTACAGATCTAATTAATCGGAAAGTTGAAACAGCACCCATTCAAAAACGACTTGGTATCTTGCAATATATCACCTCTGAAATGAATGTAAACTTAGACATAGCTGGTTCCCGGGCAGCTGCTTTCATAACCTCAGATGGCATCATAATTCAAAAGGTCGCCTTTGGAGACTGAAACAAAAAGTTGAGAAATTTCCAAGGGTGTCAGTGAGGCCCTGAGTCACCTGGCTGGATTCCACCTAACATGCCTCTCTGTGAAGGCCTGAAGACCCAGACCTGCAAAACCAGTTTCAGTCTTCTCTTCCCAGCCACAGCACAGCCAGGCCTGTGTCCAATCAGGGGCCCACGCAGCTCTTTCCTTAGGCAAGCGAATGAATGTGCACCTCAGCTGGGAGGAGCTGAAGGCGGTGTTCACCCATGTTTAACAGAAAAGGACTCAAAAGTCCAAGTGGACTGTGAGATGGCATTTGTGGGGCCACCAGGCTGCCCTGTCCTTTTTTTGGTATCTTTTTACACTGAGACCATTTCTATTTCTGCAGGGTTTTTTGTTTTGTTTTGTTTTGCTTTGTTTTTGTTTTTCCCAACAGATGGACTTTTGCCACCACCTCCCACATCTGCTTTGCGAAACCTCGAAGACTGCTGAACAGAAGGTTTCTGCGCAATTTGGTGGATTTCTGTAATCATTTAGAAATGAAGTGGTAGCTAAAGGTCCTGAAGGTTTCTTTCTGGGGTGATAAAAATGTTCTTAAATCAATTGTGCCCATGAATTATAACTCTCTGAATATGGCAAACTCTGTTGGACTGGACACTTTAAATGGGTGACTTGTATGGTATGCAAATTCTATCTCAATAAAGCTGTTACCAAAGCATCAGATAAATGGAGAGAGGGAATTGGAGACAGGGGCTCTATTGGATATTCACATCGAGGGTCATTCTGAACCTTTAGTGTCACAGTTTACTCAGACATGACATGGAAGAAACATTGGCAGGCTTCCTCAAAGGTGGCTTTCAGGAGGCACCCCAGCCAGATCAAGCACTAGTCTCCCAGTGCCCTTCCTGGCTGACAGTTATCTGGGCCCTGGCATTTGCGTTTCTTCTAAAATGCCCCTCCCCCTTTGACACAGCCCAGAGGGTTAAGCAGGGAATCCCACATCACTGCTCCTTGTGTATCTTCCCCATTTCTCAGGTCACAGACTTCAACGGGACCATCAAAGGAATTAAGCCTCTGGAAGATAGAAAATCCTCTAGAATCAACCCAAAGCAGTTGACTTTTGTATTGCCTGTTAGACCTGTACTCAGAAAAGAAACTGCTGTAGTAACTGCAGATTAACTCAGCCCCTGCACTCCCATCAGCATCAGTATCAGCATCCTCTGGGAGCAATACAGAAGCATGGGTCCTTCCTAGACCGATTGAGTCTGAATCCAGATTTTCATAGAGTCCTCAGTGACTCCTGTGCATTTGGTCACAATGCAGCTGACCCTGTGAATTCTGCCTTCCTACTTATACCTTTGGGTGAAAAGCCCAAGTTCCTAGCTAACACTGGTCTCTCCACTACTCTAGGTCACCCACGAACTCCACCCTCTGTATCGCTAAAATCAGGGACAGTTCTCAGCTTTGAAACTTAGCAGCAGCATTTGACACGCTCGCTTCCTTCTTGAGAAATGTTTTCATGAGGCTTGCAGTAGGGTTTCCCTCTCTGTCTCAGTATTACTTGCTGGTTTCTCTTCACTTTCATGAATTTTTAACTTTGGAATGTCCCTGAATTAAATCCCAGGAGCCCTTCTACATCTGTGGTATTCCTCTGGTGATTGCTAGTGGCCTGCTATACTATCTGTGTGCTGATGGCTCCCGTGTCTATCTGCAGGCTTGCATCTCCCCTCTAGATTCCAGACCACGCATCTAACAGCAGACTTGACAGCTTCATCTGGATGCCCAGTAAGCATCTCCAATTCAACATGTTTAAAACCAGGCTTCTGATCTCTCCAGCACTTCCTTCTCCACTTAGTGGTGACTCCATACTTGTATAACTTGACCTATTAGGTTGTCAGAAAAGTCATCACACATTTTTGCATAGAAAAAAAAGTTATGACTTTTCTGACAACCCAATACAAACCTTGGAGTTATCATTGACTCCTCTCATTCCATCACATCACACTTCTAATCTATCAGTACTTCCTATGGGCTCTATTTCAAATATATATCCAGAAGCCCAACTTAAAAATAGGCAAAAGGGCTGGCCCCATGGCACGGTGATGGTGCACTGCTCAGAAGAGGCCAGATCCTACTTGGTGACCACAGTTCAATCCCCATCCTGGTGTTACTGAGAGAGGCCAGGCATGTATGCAAGTGCAAAGGTCTGACAGGCTGGGAAACTGGAGGAAGAGGGCTGCAGTGTGGCCAGACCCTGTGGGGTGGATACTCATCTCTCTCTCTCTCTCTCTATCTCTCTTTCTTCCTCTCTCACTTCCACTCTGACATGCATGTGCATGCATATATGCTCTATTATGAACAAAGAAATATATTTTTAAATGGGTAATATGTTTGAATAGACACTTCACTAAAGATCAGAGAAGATACGAGAATGACTAACATGTACATAAAGAGATGCTCAACCTTGTTAGTCTTTAGGGAAATGCAAATCAAAACCACCATGAGATATTCACACCCACTGGGGTAGCTCTCATCAAAGAAACAGAAAATAACAAGTGTCAGTGAGGATGTGGAAATTAGAATCTTTATACTTTGCTGTTGGAAATGTAAAGTGGTGCAGCAACTTTAGAAAACAGTTTGGCCATTTCTTAAGACCTTAAACACAGAGATACCATCCAAACCAGCAATTTCGCACCTTGGTATGTACACCAGAGAAATGAAAATGGGCATCCACACAAAGACTTGTATATGAGCATTCATAGTAGCCTTGCTCGTCGTAGTCCAAGAGTGCAAACAACTTATGTCCATTAACTGGGGAGTGGATAAACTATGGTATATCCATTTAAAGAAATATCATTCAGTAATAAAAGGAATTAAATGCATGTTAGAACATGGATAAACTTTGGAAACATGTACTAAGTGAAAGAAGCCGGTTACAAAAGACCACACATTATATGACTCCATTAACATGAAACATGAAATGTCCAGAATAGGCAAATCCATAGAGACAGAAAGTAGATTCGTGGTTACCTGGGGCTGGTGGTAGAAAAAAGAAGTGACTACAGACAGGCACATGGGATCCTATTGGGGTAATAGAAGTCTTCTAAAATTGGATTATGGTGATGGCTGGACAACTCTGTAAATTTGTTTAAAAGTCATTGAATTGTGCACTTAAAATGAATGAATTTTCTTGTATGTAAATTATACTCCAATAATGCTGCTTTAAGAATATCCAGAGGGGGCACCAGCAGGTGGCTTGATGGTTAAGGGTGCTGGACTCCCACATGGCCAACTGCGGTTTGAGTCCCAGACCTGGCGACTTGCTTTCTCACTCACTCACTCACTCACTCACTCACTCACTCACTCACTCACTCTATCCATCCCTCTCTGGTCAAACTGAAATAAATAAATGAATGAATAAACAAAGTTAAATAAAATAATTTAAAAAAAAGAATATCCAGAGGGTGGTGATGTGGTGGTTGGAGCAGCTGGATTGCACGTGGCCAACTGCGTGATTCAGTTCCCAGACCCAGCAGCTTGAGACAGTGGACACGTGTGCATGTGTGTCCAAAACCTTGGTAGAAAGAGATAGAGAAGCAGAGATTGCAACGTGACCATCCCCCATGGGGGTGCATGCTCATTCCCTACCCGTCACTTTTTCACACAAGTGCATGTGCCCTCTGACAAAGTTTCTTTTTTTTTTTTAAATACAGAATCTTGGGACCAGCAGTTGGTGTAATGGCTATGTTGCTGGACTCCCATGTA